TCCTATTTTTAAATCTTGAAAGATGCATCATATCCTAGTCCCCCAACCATACGCCAGATGACGACCAGACGGAGTTTGAATTGGAGGAAGGCACACTGGGAGCAGGAAGACTACACAGGACCCCCTGGGGACAGCACTTGTTGCTAGGTGCCGCAGAGTCAGTTCCAACTCATAGTGACCCTGTGTAGAACCAAAACAAACACTGCCCATCCAGCAACACCCTCCCAACCGTTGTGTTTGAGCCCACTGTGGCGGCTGCTGGATCAGTCCAGGGACTTCCTCTTTTCCCTCTCTCTACCAAGTACCAGGTCCTTTTCCAGAGACTGGTATCTCTTGATCACATGTGAACATAACTTAGACCAGAGGAAAACGTTAGAAAGCAGAGTCATGCAAACAGGGGAGAGATGTAGGCAGAAGCCAGAGACATTGAGAGCCCCTCTATCTGCAATTGATTGCCTGTGGGAGATAGGGGGATAGGTGAGGGTAAGGATGACGTCCAAGATTCTGGCTTGGAAAGTACATGAGAACAGGGCCTTGTTGGTTAACCAGTGCTCTCTGTCTGAACCCACCCGTGTTCAGTGAAGTTGTGCTGAAGCTTGAAGGATGCGGCAATGAGCTTGATTTGGGATATGAGGACGTTTGAATGAAGCTTCTTTTGAAAGTGCATTCTAGGGATTGCCTACCCTCTTGCTCAGTTCTGAAGAAGGGGCAGTGAAGAGATGAGCCCTGGGGGCTTCTTTTGAGACCCTGTTCTCCCCACTCTGTAAGGTTTGAAGTCCCCATGAGAACTCGTGTAATCATGACTTGATCACTTTGGACCTAACAGGTTATAGAATTGGGATTGTATCTAACCGTGGACCTGACCTCCCTGAGCAGTTTTCTGATTTTGTAGCCATCCCAATTCTCAATGTCTTGATCCTCTTTACATTACAAGGCTCCCTTTTTGGTTTTCTTTCCTTTTTTTATTTTTTCCACTTTTTGAACTTGAATTTGACTTGTCATATGCATACCACCATTAGGCATTCTGATAAAAGTTGGTTCCAAGATCATGACAACTTTAAATAGACGAGAGGGGTTCATGGTTGATTGCTGCTGCCCTCCCAACCCCCCCTCAAAAAAAAAATCTAGAGTGGGGAAATCCAAGGATGTTTACTGCCCCCCAGTGGCAGGACTCTGAGACAAACATGGACCAAGTCCTTGACCTTCATGGTGTGGATCAGCCAAGGGCTAAACCCCCAATACCACCCACTCCAACCCAGAATGCTAGGCTAGCTTCCCACAGGAACTTACATCACACTTTCCTAATTTTGAAACTAATAACTTCCATTGTCCTTTGATCCTGAAGATGATCAGATGGTTTCCAAATGCAACCAATTGATGTTGAGAGTGTACTTACTATAGGGAGAGCCAGCCTCCTGAAAGGCTTCGTCGGCATGAAACATCCAACCCTCCCCGTTCTTCACCAGGGCCCTGCAGATGCACTCTAAGGGGGACGTCCCTCACGGACTGACCTTTCACCCGAAATGGAGCCTTCCAAAGGAGCCCAGCTAACCCGAAGGCCTGCAATCTGAATCCCCTGCCACGCTGTGGCAGTCCGCTGCTGTGAAGGCTTCTGGCTTGGGAGGCTGACGGGCAGTACGACTCCGCCCGTTCAGGCCACTGTGAGTTCGAATCACTGTGTTGGCAGTGGGCACAGGTACACATTCGAGTCACTTTATTTATGTGAGCTTTTATAGCTCAGAGACCTGAGCTTCTAGATCTGCTGACTACTTAGAACTGGGTCTATGGCCCACGGGGAAAAAGAGGGAAGAGGTGAGGTGAGGGGGGGGTGAGCAAAGCCTAACTCACTGGTTTTAAATAAGCAAGGTCCTTTGCCAACGCACTGGAGAAACTACTAAAAGTGTCATCACAACATTTCAAATAAAAGAAAAATAACTGGCCCGAGCAAATCCTGTTAGGCTCTATAAAGTGTACTTTGGGGCCTTGACAGCCCATTCCAGTTCTCACGAAGCTCATAAAGGTGTTAATTCCTACTTTTAAAATGCACCTAGAGTGTTCTCTGGTTGTGAACGATTTAGCTTGTTAACCAGGGCGTGACCTTTCTGGGCTGTAAATCGAAAGCCCACCCACCTATCCGTCATAATATCTGATGGCAATGTCATGCCTCGACACTGAAAACCCTGACTCCGTCCTCTCAGGCAGTCCATCGTCCCCTGTCGCGGTGCAGAGGGAGAAGGGCTCTGGGGACCACAACCCTTTGCTCATACGGCTTCTTGACAACTAGAGCTCGTGTGTGTGAGCTATGTTGTCGTTTCTTAATAGCACTATTATAATATCAAAAGATGGACTGACATGGTGGCTGCAACAATGGGCTCAGATAGAAGAACTGGACCAATAGATAACATCATGATAAACAAAGACTGTCTTGTTCATCAATTGATTTCTAGGACCTAGAGTCCAGATGTTCAATGGGTGTTTGTTGCTTTAATAAATGCATACTGAGCAATAATCCGAGAACCTGGATCTTCTGAAGAAGAACGCAGCATGAGGATTAGAGTAAGGTTGATCAACAATCTTTGAAACACAGATGAAGCAACCTTGCTTGCTGAAAGGGAGGAGGACTTGAAGCGCTTGCTAACGAAGACCAAGGATGGCAGCCTTCGGTATGGACTACAACTCAGCGTAAAGAAGAGGTAAGTCCTCCTGTTGGACTGACTAGGTAGCATCATGATAAATGGATACACGTTTGAAGTTGCCACAGATTTCATCTTGCTTGGATCCACAATCAATGCTCATGGAGGCAGTGGTCCAGAGACCAAATGACGCATTGCCTGGGGTAAATTTGCTGCAGAAGACCTCTTTAGAGTGTTGAAGAGCAAGACTGTTACTTTGAAGACTACGGTGCACCTGGCAGAAGCAATGATCTCTTAAACTGCCTCCAATGCTTGTGAAAGTTGGGCAATGAATAAGCAAGGCAGATGAAGAACTGATGCATTTGAATTATGGGACTTCCCAAAAATATTCCAAGTACCCTGGGCTGCCTAACGAACAAGCAAGCCTATCTGACAAGAACTGTTGCCAGTGTGCTCCTCAGAGGCAAAACCGGAGAGACTTTGTCTCACTTCAGAATAGACGCAAAGGGAAGAGACTTCATCTCCCATTCCTTAGACACGTTGTCAGAGGAAACCAGTCTCTCGACAAAGACATCATGCTTGGTGAAGCAGAGAGGCAGGCAACGAAAGGAAGGCCCTTGGTGAGATGGACTGGCCCACTGGCTGCATCGACGGGCTTACACATAAGAACGCTTATGAGGATGGTGCAGCACGAGCAGAACACATTACATAATTAATGCTCCCATATCTTCAAACCAGTGAAACCCCAAACCTGGTAGGAGGGTAATGAGGCATTAAAAGTACAACTTCCGTGACTGCCAAAGGAGCTACCAATATATTACCCATAACAGAAACAAAATGCTTTCTCCAGGGGAAGTGTGAAGAAATTATATACAGAAGGTGAAATCCTATTTCAATATCCTATATTGAAATATATATGCAGGTATCTCCTGTGTAATGGCAGGGATGCATAAAAATCAAACGTGTAAAAATGCTAACAGAATTAATGATACACCTCAGTCAATATCCCCTAACTAAGTTCCTAAAAAGATACCAGAATATATAATACCATTTGCTTACAACCTCTCCCCTTGATCAGGGAGGTTAGCACGGTCTCTGCGCGCAGTAACATCCTCTCTTCCTTTGTAATTGATTTTCTCACTGTCTTGCCTTCTCTCGTTCCGTCAGTGCTTGCTCATTTGTGGGGATGGACACACCACTAGGTCAAACATGAGCCATGAAAGGCGCTGTGAAGACGTGTTCAGAACAGCAGGCAGAGAGGCTGCTCGGGCTGTAGCTGCCTCGGCATCGGCCTGTTCTAGGTAATTCATGTACGTGGGATTCGAACACTTTTTGTCCTTCTAGGCCTGTTATTTCACACCACCTAATGTCCTCAAGGTTCATCCATATTGCACCATGTATTTCAAGAAGCCCAAAGCCATCTAGTCAATTCCAAGACACGGTGACCCTACGGGACAGGGCAGAACTGTCTCTGGGAGGTTCCCAAACTGTCACTCTTTGTGGGAGGAGAAAGCCTCATCTTTTCTCTTGTGGAGCAAGTGGTGGTTTCAAACTGTTGACTTTAGAGTTAGCACCACAATGTGCAACTCACTGTGCCACCAGGGCTCCTTTTCAGGCTCCGTTCTGTTCCCTTGGATGCATACACCACATTTGTGGATGGACAAGTGGTTGCTTCCACTTTGGGGCCATGGTGAATAGTGGTTGGATCTGCATCTGCTAACCACTGAGTCCACAGTTCAAAACCAGTCACTCGGTGTGTGAGAAAGGCGGGGCTTTTTATTCCCATAAAGTTACAGTCTCAGAAACCCACAGGGCCGTTTCACCCTGTCCTATAGGGTCACTGTGAATTGGAATCGACTCAATGCCAGCTAGGGGAGTGTGCTGGGCCTGCCTGGATCATCCCCTAAGGACAGCTGATCAGCAACTTGAACTGTTTCTAAGTTTACCTCCCCTTTCCTCATAACATAATCTATTCACAAGTTCCAGGGATCAGGGCTTGGGCATCTTTGAGAGTCATTATCTTGCCACAGGTCTGTCTTTCAGGAAAATGTCAAACAGGGAGATTTCTGCCAGGCCTGTCTACACGTGGCTTAATTGTTTTTAAAACTGAGTTGCTTTAAGTGACAATGGATTCTGAGATTGAATTTATATTATGGAATACCTGTATTACTGTGGATGTGTGTGAAGTCAGCGGGCACTGGACATCCTTAGCTATTATTCGTTCTTCCTGGGACACACATCTAAGAAAGTCAGTAACTTGTAAAAGGCCCTCCATGAACCGAAGATCTCTAAGTAGACATAAAAGGGGGTGGAGGGAGACACAGCTTAAACTCATGGATTCACTGACCATTCCACTCAGGTAGAAACTGTTTTCTAGAAAATGGTGATTTATTTTGGTTTAACATACAATGGTAAGTAGATGGGGGACCATCGAGTTCGCAGTTTAAAACATTTCATATTACAGTACGAATGTCAGCTCATTCGGTCTTGCATCTCAATGTAGCAAAGGGTTCCTCTTGTTGCCTGCTGGCAGTTTGGCCAAGAGTGTGGACGTTGGAATCAGACAACACACTGTAAAGATAAAGTATTTTTTCCAAATGTGTATACAAATTTTGACACAAAGCCACCGCCTGCTCCACAGGACAGACACTAGAATGTTTAAAACGTTCCAGGGAGGCAGAGCACAACCCTGCGTACAGACTTATAATACAGTTTAGCAATATTTCATCCAAGACTGTGCATTTAGACTTTTTTCAATCTGAAGAGAAAAGCAAAACAAAAACAGTAGCCAAGGAACTGAACAACCCAAAAAAAGTATATAAAATATGTCCACCACTATTTAAAAGCCAAATTTAATCAAGCAATAGTGAAAAACAAAACAAAACAAAAAACAAAACAAACCCAATACAATAATACAACCTTCTGTTTAAAATAACAGCACTGTTCCCCCTCATTTCCACTGAATTTTACATATGAACAGACTATATATACTGGTTTTTTGCTTTTGTTTTTTTCCAGAGAAATGTCCATTTGGTCTGCCACACCATTCAGGCTCGCACTAACTCTTCTCCTTCTCTTCTACGGATGAGCAGGTCCAACATTCAGGGTTAGGCACAAAGTCTCAAGTATAATACAATTCTCCCTTTTCCTTTACACAGTGCAGAGTATATGGGCTTAGGCTAAGCAGATTCTCTGTTACTCTAGCTCGCTGTCTTTTTCTAAATTCACGGTGGTGTTCAACAGGGTGCAGTAGTTAGGCTTGTCCGATGGTACGTAGCCTGGCAGACACAAACACTTGTAGGAACCTTCTGTGTTGATGCACTTAGCATTCTTGCAGAGAGACATGCGGGTGTTCAACTCATCACATTCATTCACATCTGCAATAAAGTCAAGCCGAGAGGGTCAAGAGCTGTAGCATCTCCACCCTTAGAGGAAATGTAAGCCATAGCTTACCTGAGGTACCAACGCATCTGACCTCAACACTGCCAGTCCTTCCCTGCCCACTCCTCGCCACCCCAGCCCCCCACCTCCTAGCTCCTCACTTAGCAGCATTATTATCTCTTTCAATCAGATTCTTGATAAACAGGCATTTTAGATCTGACCAGGGTCCATTATCAGGGAGATTCTAGAATTCCCTTCCCTGTCATGTAGCATTAACATCAGTGATATTTTATCATGGCGCCTCGAGAGAATACGAAACAAGCAGTATATCATTTCTAAGTTCCTCTCAATCAACCATATTCAAAACAGAGCAGGTAGCTTTGTCAAGATCAGTACAATTCAGACACAAGTAAGAGAGATCCCTTGAGCAGCCTCTCTAGAAGCGCTCACACGCGTTCTTAAGTTTCTTTACACAGGAGAACCGTGGCATCGTTCCTGACTTGAACTACTGATGATGATTTAGGTCGCCACTTTTCCAGGTCTGCCAGAGGTTAACACAAACAAAATTGCAGCGGAGAAAGAAACTGTTAGAGAGAACCGAACACACACACACACACACACACACACACACACACACACACAC